CAGTGCTGGCCTACATGCAGCTGCTGGAGGACTACTCGGAGCCGCAGCCCTCCATGTTCTACCAGACGCCGCAGAGCGAGCACAAGTACCAGATGAAGAAAAAGAAGCTCATGGAGGTGTACGGCTTCACGGACTCGTTCGGCGCGGCCGACGCCCTGCAGGAGCTGGCCCCGCCCCCCGCGCTGCCCCCCAAGCAGCGGCAGCTGGTGAGCCCCGCCCCCCGCGCCACCCGCTGGGTCTCTGTCCCCAGGACCGTGCGCCCAGGCCCACTCGCCCGGACTGCCTTCCCCACCCTGGGGTGCCCGCCTCGTCCTCGCGGTCACGCGGCCGGGCCGGCTCACGGTCAGCGCTCACGTTCACGCTGACGGTCTCTGCGGTCTGGGCCCTCTTCGCCTCCATGGCTCCCCCCAAGCGAGGGGCGTTCCCGGGGCACAGGGCCTGGTCTGTGCGTGGACTCCACTCACCTAAGGCTGACTCTAGACGGGCCCGCGGCCCGCCAGGCGGCCCCGTGGACACTGGCTGTATTGACACGCGGTGGCTGGAGACAGAGCCGCTCTGTGCTCCGGGCGGCCCCTCCTCGCTGGGACACCGCCTGTGTGGCCGTCCATGGGTGGTGCCGCCCGGCCCGGGATGGGGTGCCGGGCCTGCCTGGGCCGCGAGCTTCAGGCCCGGCCGCCAGCTCCCCGTGAGCACCCCTGGCCGCGCGGCGGCCGCCGCTCTCCCCTCCTCTGGAGCAGCTCGTCTGCTCAGATGCTGCCGCCCAGCCTGGCAGCGCTTTAACCAGGCGGGGCCGAGGTGGCGGACACCGTTTCTCAGGGATGTGTTGGTGCCCCGGGTTTCCCTGGAGGACACTGGAGGGCGAGCCCCTGGGCACAGTGAAGTGTGGAGCCCACCTGGCCTCAGGGGTCCCAAGCCCCCACGTTCAGCTCTCAGGTTGGAGCCAGGCCAGGCGAGGCCCTGGCGCCGGCCCTGTCCCCCACGCCTGCCCAGGCCCCGGCCTCGATCGTCTGCTCTGGGTTCCTTTGAGGCTGCATATCTCTGCCCCGCCGTGCTGCGCCCCCAGCCGGCCTCGGCATCTTTCCTAGCCTGTAGTGCCCGAGGGGGGCTGCAGACCCCAGGTATGCACACGTGGATCGGGGCTCCGGCCGCCTGCCCGCAGCGGGGCCAGGCGGAGGGTCCTGGGCTGAGCGAGCCCACGAGGCCCGGCGCCCGGGCAGCTCTGCTGTCCTCTCCGCATCCGTCGTCCTCCGGCGGGTAGCCTGAGGGGCACAAGGTTAGGGGACCAGCCCTGACCCCCACCGGCACCGCATGCCCCCTCCAGTGTGTTATCCTGGCTGGCGACGCGCGGGTGCTAATGGTCACGCCTGTGGGCCCGTGTGCAGGGTGGGCACCTTCCAGCTGCGCACAGCCCCCCACTGCCCCATCAGGCGGAGGCCACACAGAAGCCCCACCGGTGGGCCCAGAGTCAGGCTGGCGCCTGGCCTGTGCGCCGTGAGAGCCTCGGCACCGTGCCCACTACACGATCTGCCCAGAGTTGGCTTCTAGATCTGTCCCAGGAAGCAAAGGCAGGGTCCTCGTTCGGGGAGCTGCGGGCGCCCTTGGCCCGGAGCCAGCGGGGCGCCAAGTGCCGCCCGGTGCGGGCAGCGCTGCCTCCACGCACCCGCGGTCTCTGCTCTTCTGCCTCCTCCCCGTCTTCTCTCCTCCTCTGTCCAGCAGGCCTCCTATGCTGCTTCTTCCTTCTCCTCTGTCTCCTACTGTGTCCAGCAAACTAAAGTGGCCTTCACCCCCGAGGACAGCAGTGCCACTCAGGGCGTCACTGTGTCCGTCTCTAGCCCCTTTCTTGGCCGGCCCGGCGCCGCGCCCTCGGTGAGTCGCTCCTGCTGTCTCCTGCCGCGGGAGGGTCTGCCGGGTGTGCGTGGCCCTAGAGGGGGGAGGAGGGGGTTGGCGCCCGCGGGGCCCCACTCTGGACGTTACCATGCTGGCAGAAACCGGCAGCAGTTCTTTCTTTCTGACCTCCCACTGGGGCTGCGGCGGCCCTGAGGTGCTGTGCTCACAGAGGAGTGTCCCTCGCGGGGGCGCCAAGCCAAGGAGGTGGCCTCAGCGGGTTGTGACAGGGTGGCCTGCGGGCGTCGTGGTCTCCGCACACTTAGTGGCTTAAGCCAGCTTAGGCCGGGTCGGGGTGAGTGGCCAAGTGGCTGGTGCGGTGGGACCCAGGCTGGACCCACATGGCCCTGCTTGCCCCCGGGGCCCCGGGTGGGCACCCAGGATGCAAAGGGAGCGTGCGGGTGTGAGGCCCGGCCCAGCCGATGGAAGGCGCTGCCTCCAGGGAGCTGCGTCTCCCTCAGCTCGCAGGGGAGCGTGGCCAGTAGCTGACTTCAGGCCCTAGGGGACCCTGGCTTCAGCAGGGGCCAGCTGCGCTGTGTCCCTCCTGGCGCTGGCCTGCCCTCCCCTTCCACCTCCTCGGGAAACGCCGCACAGCAGGGCAGGTGCCCGGAGCAGCCACGCTGGGCCCCGCGCAGGCCAGCCAGCCTCCCACTGGCGCCGCTTCCTGCTGGCATCTCTGCTCGCTTCCCGCTCACCCTGAGCATGTGCCGGTTAAGTCAAATCAGAGGACACGGCCAGGCGGTGGTAGGCTTAGGAAGCCGCGCGCTCCTGGCCTGGCCTGACTGCTTCTGTCTCTGCTTCTGTTTCTGAGTTGGGTGGGATCAGCTGGCGGCCTTCCTCACGCCAAGCCCCAAGGCTGACTTGGTGGCCCCTGGGCCCTCCTCGCTGGTCCTGCTCGGTCTCTACCCTGGGGCTGCCTGGCATGAGGCCCGTGGAGCACATTCCTCCTGTGGGCGTGAGGCCTCGCCAGCTGAGCCCTCAGCAGCCAGCACATGTGCCGTCAAGGCCACGCCGGACGCTTGCCCAGGCGCCCCCTGTGTCCACTGCACACCCTCCGGAAGCTCCTTTCACAGATCTTGCAAAACATGACCTTGAGACAGCCCATGGGCTTTTCCCTCTGTGGACAGATGCGAGTGTGCTCCCTCCTGCGAGCATCCAGGGCCCCGTCGCACACTGTGGGCAGGGCAGGCCACGGCCAGAGGGTGCCCATGGGCGTCCTCGTCAGTTTGGGTGTGAGCCGCTGCAGGAGCCCCGTGGGTTCCGGGTCCCTCCAAGGGCCCCATTCCGCCTCAGAGGCCACCAGCCCCAGGGGCTGTCTGGAGCTTCTGGGTCTGAAGGCCAACAGCCGCAGAGTGATCCTGGTCATGACGACCAGGGCTCTGTCCTACCCCTGATGTCCGAGATGAGCTGGCGGGGACACACGCTGACCTGGACCGTGTTCACCCAGAAGCAAGGCGCAGCCGCCAGGTGGCCCTCCGCCCCGTCACACCACCCTGCTGCTTCCCAGCCTTCATCGGAGCAGCCTGCAGTGACTTGTCCCATCACGGCCTCTGTCATGTGAGCCACTCATTCTGGTCCTGGGCTGTGGCCAAGAGCCTGACTCCTTCGTCGTTTTCCTTCTCCACTGACAAACAGCCTCCAGTTGCCTGCTGGCTGGCCCAGGACCCACAAGCAGTAGGGTCTGGCAGATACCTTAGTGCGCCTCCACCCTTCCTACAGGACACCGGGGCTGCGGGCCAGCACTACTGCGAAGAGTGAGCTCCCAGTCAGCCCTGTCCGTGCCTGGACACAGCCTGACCAAGGAGGTGCCCCAGGCCAGCACCCACCCGGCCTTCCAAGACCCTGGGGAAAATGCAAAGCAGGCCTGAGCCGGACAGGGGACCTGGCCTGGCCCACTCTGCAGAGTGGGGCCCTGCAGAGGTGCTGTGACTCCGCCCGGGCCACCCCTGGGGGGGGCCTCTGTGGTGTGAGCCCGGGCGCTGGCCACTCTGCCCTTCCAGGGGAGCATTTACCCATTTCGAGATGGAGCGTCCGGGACAGGAAAGCTGAACCATTTGCCTAGAGTCAAGTTAGAGCTAAGATTAGGCTCATGAAAAGCACAGTACTGGGAGGACACTTCTCAACAGCTGCTGCCAGTCATAAAGCGCTGAGCAGGAAAGCTGGACGCAGATGCTGCCTCCGTGCGTGCCAGCGACCAGGGCCGTCCACCCCGCTCGGGAAAGTCGCGTTCTGACATCTTGCAGAACACTGTTGTGAAACACAGGGGCGTGAAAAAGGAAACTGCCTCTGGGCCTAGATCAGGCCAGAAGATACCGCCGCCTGGGGGCGGTGGGCGCTCATCAGCCAGGTGACGGGAGAGCGTCTGCAGTTGGTCCTGCTGGCCTCCGTCTCTGGACCTGAGTCCTGCACAGGAGGCCCCTGGGGACGCTGCGGCAGTGGGTACCTGAGAGCCCGGCCGGGCCAGAGGCCAGGGCCAGACATCTGGGCGGCAGCCCCGAGCACCTGCTCACGTTCAGGACGTGCTGCCCGGAGACAGGCCGTGGCTCGGCAGGTTTGCTATGCGGGGTCCTCACGGGGCCTGAACCTGAGCCCGGGCACCCTGACGCCTCGTCTCCCACCTCCCCCGACTGCAAGCTTGCCTGGGCTCGGCCGAGCTGTGAGCCCAGGTCGTGGCCCCATGTCGCCGCAGGGCAGCCAGTGCCGCCCGGGTCCTCTAGCCAGTGGCCGGCCCTGTCTGGCCCTGCCTGCCTCCCCTGACCCCGGCCCCCGAAAGTTAGAGGGATTTGTAGAATGTCTGTCCTGTTGAAGAACTGGGATTTTTACTGAAAGATCTCCTTTCCCACCAACACAACACGGCCCATCCCAGGACTCCCACCATGACTGTGAGGGCCAGCAAGGGCCAGTGCCGTTGGGTGCCGGCCCCTTGACCATCTCCTGTGGACTCTTAGCTCCACCGTCCTGCCCTTGGACAGCGTGATGCCTCCCCCACCTGCGAGCCCCTGGTGCAGCCCGGCCTCTCACGAGGGTGGGCTCCCCGGCCTCTCTGCCTGGCCCTCACCCCGGCTCACTGCCCAGCATGCCGGCCCTCACAGCCCTCGCCTGAGACCCCGAGTGGCGTGGGGCGGGGCTGTGTGGCGGGGGCCTTTCCACGCGGCCTCACGCCTGCCAGGCCGGCCCCACTGTGAGGGGCCCGGCAGAGCTTGCAACGAGACGGCTCATCAGGCCCTGCAGCCCCCCTCCGAGGAGCGGAACAGCCGGGCCCCGCATGCTGGTGTCCGGCTGCCCTCGCGGACCTGGCCGGCTGTGTGGTCGGGGCTGAGGCTGCGGCCAGGCCCCAGCTGCGCTCCTGCACAGGCCCGTCCTCTGCCAGGCCGGGGCTGCAGGCCCAGTCGGCAGCCCCCTGGGGCACGTCCTTAGCCCGCAGTCCCTCTGGCTGGACATGCCAGCGCCCGCCGTGGCCACACGGCTCCCGCCGGTCCTAAAACAGGCTCTGGGCGGTGGGGAAGGGGCGCTTGTGTGCACGGCCACCGCCTCCCTCCTTGCCCGTGCGAACAAATATGGTCTTCTCAGGCCTGGAAATGTTCGGTAGAAACTGGACCCCTTGACAGTCGTGTGAGGACAGGCCCTCGGCCTCTGTGCAGCCGCGGGGCTCCCAGAGTGCGAGTGGGGCGCAGCACGGGCCCCCACCCTGGCTCCTGTCCCGGCCAGCTGCATTGCTTGCATTCCGGGCTGGCCGGCGGGGAGGGCCGGCGGGGAGGGCCGGCCAGGCCAGCTCCCTCCTCCCGTGGCTTCTGCTCCCGCCTCAGTGGGGGAGGCTTTGCTGCCCGCCCAGACCCGAGGCCAGCCGCGGGC